TGTCATCAGTCTCTCAGCATCTTTTTAAAGATCCCATCTGGTCCCCCTGACACTTCCATAAGCTGAGATTTCTTAAGAGATCCCTGGCTTAATCCTCTTCCACTACTGGTACTTTCTCTCTTGAACTCTGGGTTGAGGGGACCACAAAACCTTGCTGGTGAAGTCCAGAGCCTTGTCTGAATCCATTGTAAGTAAATCACCTGACCTATTAAGCAGCTGATGCACATTTTCATTGATTATTCTTTTATTGCTAAGGTGGTGGTAGAAGCTATTCTTGTTGCCCATAACATCCGTAACGAAGTTTTAAGTTGACAAGCAGGTATTCTTTGTTCTGGAGACGGGAGACACAGGTGATAGCTCCACCTAGCGTGTGTCTCCCTAATTGCCACACAACTCGTCCTTTCATAGCCACTGGGCATACGTACATATTCCTGAGGCTACGTATGGATTACATAATTTTCCAGAAAGTTCTTCGCATGCGTACAAAATTGTGGTGGTGGTCTCTGAGGGTCATTTACTTTTTCCAACAATCTTCATCACTTCTGGCAGCCTTTGAAGCACGCGCAGTAGATGCTTATACCAGCTTAATTGGTTTGTTAACACCACAGACATAATAATCCTCCTGCCCTTCTACTTATCAGTTAGCTTAGCTGCAGCCCATCCTGGACACCTGCCATTCCCAGATACTCCTTATCATTGCGTCCTGTTCTTCTAGACTGTTTTTTCTTAAAACTATGTCAACTAGAACGCTTTATCATGTGTAAGAATTCTCAGTATGTTCTCTAGCTGTACTCTATTTTCTTTTTCTATGTATCATGCACCTCAGTAATTTTCCATTGCTACTGTTACAAAGCAATCAAAATTAACATTACTTAAAACTAATTCTAAAGGTTTATATATTCCATTTTGTGCCCCCCTTGTCTCACTTGCCAGCTTCAAAACCGGGTGAACTTGAGCTTTCCTAACACCATTCCTATGGGTCCAGGCAGTTCTTCCTTAGTTGTTTGTTTCTGTTTTCAACACAAAGCTGCCTGGTCTCCAGCTCTGTACTCTGCTGTTCACCACCTTCAGGATGCTGAACTCAGTTATTTCACAGTTATTGCAGTGAAGGCTGCTATTGATGATTACATCTCCAGTCAGTTCTTCCTAGTTTGTGAGTAGCAAATCCAGAAAAGCACCACCTTTCACTGACCCTGTAGGGTTAACAAAGCTTGGGGTCCCATCTCATTCACTTTGCCCCCAGAGCTCTGTAGTTCTGATGTGCACTAGGCAATGTCTTTAGTGTCTGCATAGATGTGCAACAATGGGTAGTGGTTCAAGGAATGGAAAATCATTGTCAGTCTCTGCAGTGCAATGGATTCCATGGATTCCACCCCCACCCCCCCCCAAAAAAAAAAAAAGGAAACCTGTTGTAACAGCATGGCTGTTTAGCAGATGTGTGTATTCATCTTTCACAGGAAGGAACCTCCAACTAGAGTCACCCCTTGCTTCTTCTTGCTCTTTGGTAATGCTTTGTTCAAGCTCAGTTGACTTCAAAGCTTCCCTTAACACTTTACCAATTCTATAAACTTAAATCTGAGGATGGAGAAGGGGCATTTCTGCTGCTACAGGAAGTCACAAATTTCTAACCTCTCCATCTTGGCTCAAGCATTGCCTCTGACTGTCTCTCCTGTCTTGCACCATAAGGCTCAGGATCTTGCCTCTGCAAGGTCTCTGTGAAGACCCTGCTATGCAGTGCACAAATTAAAAAAACTCCTGGAAATAAAATCTGGGACCAGTTCATCTCCTCATTCCTTAGCCCTAATAAAGGCTCACTGCATGCACCAGTATTTAAGTTTGTTATGTTCTGATATAATAATAATCATTGATGCAGGTGGTTGAAGGGTGGTGAAGTTAAGAAACAAGAATGAGCTTCCAGAAGTTTTTTCCCCTAGAAAAAACATGTATGTATTGTTCTAGTGTTGACTAGTCTTGTGTCCTTTTGTATAGCTGCATCTGTTCATTCACTCTGATGCTCAAACCCTTAATTTTCACTTTTTGGCCAGCTGCAATATGATGAGGGCTCTGCAAGCTAAAAATGCTGCCCTTCCCTCTGAGGCATGCAGTGTAAAATAATCAGGAAGAAATCAAGACAGAAAGTAGGAGTGTGAATATGGTTGCTGCAGCTGGAATCATATGGAGATAAATCTGAAAATGAGATGCAAAATGAGTATAAATACCTTTCATGCCAATAACCAAACAGTATAGTGGAGTGAACTTAAAAGCAAAATGTAGGTTGACTCAGGAAATCCCTAGGTTTAGCTGTGCACATCAAGATTTTGAGGGACTATAGAATAGAACAGAGGGTAGAACTGAACAATTAAAAAAAAGAAAGGTCTTCTAGAACAGTGTGGAATTTTCTTTTGCTTTTCTTGGTTTAATATGAGCCTGAAAATGTTACCGGATAGGAAGATAGATGATCATGGAGATGAGTGACTCTTCAAGTACAAAGGAAGTTTAGACTGTAAATCATTTTAAGGATGGATTTCACTGTGAAAGGTAAAGCTTGGGAAGGCCCTACAGTGCTCTAACCCCATTAGTCGCAGTGGAAGAGGTAAAGGGCTTGTTAAAAAAATAAATGCACATGGAAAAGGGGTGACAGAAGGGTGGAAGCAGCAGCTGCACCCTGGAGGGAATGGGCAAGCTAGAGAAATAGGTTGCAGAAGCGAGAAGGAAATTTTTGTTGTGACTGCCCACCGTCTGAATTCCCCTTCTTCTTTTCTGTATTAGCTCAACGTTGCATTGACCCTCCCTCTAGCAAGCAGAATGAGGGGAGGAGGCTTCCACACTTGTCAGTATTGGTTCTTCAGTCAGATGAGGAGGGTGCACTGATATGACACTAGTTATTTTACTAGTATGTGGGTCAAAATAAAATCTGGCAGCAAAGCTTTTCAGAGACTGGGTGAGTCCTTTGCTCTTCTGTGATCTGATTGTACAGCCCGCAAGGAACCTGGGGGAGTTTGTTTTCCTTACACTACTACACCATGCACTGCAGAAAAAAAGAAATCCTAATTCTCATGGAAATGAAAGCCTGACAGCTTCACCTTCACACTCCTTAATGGGAGAGAAGGCTCATTGTGTGTGCCAGTGCAGGAATTCTGTTACCTTCTGATCTAATAGAAGAGTAAGTTAACTTCCCCCCCCCCAAAATGCTCACAATCTTTTTTTCCCTCCCATATCTAAAATAGACCTCCATGGTACTAAAGTTTCATAAATGGGTTTTACTGAAGTTCTGTGCCAGTAAATGGCAATTCCAGTATCTTTTTCCTGCTGCATGGAAAAAATAGTATCTTTAAATATGAAAGTTAATCAAGTCTTCTTTTATTCCAAGTGGCTGTTCTGGCAAGCTAATTAAAATAATTCAGATGACTGAAAAAGATTTTAATTGATTTAGGATTGCAGTTTAGAAAAAAATCTGTTTCTATGTGAAAGAGTTTTTGGGGTTAAGCCAGCATCCTAGCATGCAAGACAGTTGAATTCAGCTGTTACTGTGTCATGGATGCGCTTCATAACTTTGAGAAATGCCTTCACCTTTCTGCAAAATGTCAGTTTTAATGGTCCATTCTCATACCTTGTTTTTTCTGTGTGTGCATTTAATTGAAATAGGTTCTTGCACACTCAGAGGGTTCCTCTAGGTTTAGAAATCTATCCTTGAGGCTGAGATTCTGGACTTTGTAAGATGACCCATAGGGCTTTTTCCCAAGGACCTAGTCTTACCTGAGCTCTTGCCCCCTGTCTCTCCATGCCTGACACTCCTTTGGGCCAGCACTGGTGCCCATGCAGCCACATGTTCATGTGATGAGGAGAATGGCTCAAATGAACATTTAGGTACACAGGTAGATGGACTTACAGGTAACTCTCTAGCCCTTAACTCGGTCCTTAACTCTAGTCCTTAATTCAGCTCACTGGAAAGCATTATACTAATAGAAGGGAAGGGGAGGTAAAGTTGTCTGGGATTGAACCTGTTTGGAGAGCAGATGGTATCACCCTTTTGGCAGTATCTGCCATGGAGATTGACTTGAAGCAATTAGAGGATTGCAGAGCTGAGTTACTGCTTATTAGGGAGATACTTTGGCTTGTAGGGAGTTTGTGGCAGAGACCACCTCTCACCTGGCAAATGACCTTATTCTCACACATCAGGGCTTCCTTTCAGCAATCATCTTTTGTTCATCTGCAGTCAGGGTTATTTGGTTTGTTTTTTTCCTTCCACAAGATACAGAGATTTCCTGCGCAGTGTTTTCTTTCATGAGCTGCTTACGTGTGATTGCCACTTTACTTCCTCCAGCTTGGATGGAGAATTGTAGGTAGCATGTTGATTTTAAAGTTTACACAAGTACCTTTACAAGCTCCCTGACATGGACTTTATACTGCTTTATCTAAATTTTATGTTGATGTAATACACAAGTCTCCACTTCCTTTAGTGTAAAGTCGGAAACCAGAAAGTAGAGGATGAAGCTCAGCATTTTTTTGACATAAGCACATACAAATGTCTGTGTGCTTGAAGTGGCTCCTTTCTTCAGCATATTTGCATGCCTTTAAAAATGATTACTGAGTGTATCTGTAGCCTTTCGTGGTAGGTTCAGTGAGGTGATGAGTTCTTCATTGAGAAGAACTAGCAATTCAGAACCCAAGGGCTATGTTCAAAAAAAGAAAAATTCGATCGCAAAGTAACTTGCTGCTGTTAGGCCAAGTCTGTGTCCCACTGAGGTCAGTGGTTTAGCTGCAGTAGACGTGATCTTTATCACAGATGTGACCAGTTGCCATGTATTAAAAAAAAGAAGTCATTTCATGTGCCATTTCCAATGATACGTTGCTCTGAAACTGTGTCAGAGTTAAAATGATATCCTAAGTGTTGTGTAAAGCTGAGTTCTCTGCGAATCTTTCAGGGGATTCTTTTTCTTAATGTTTTGCAGTATACATAGATGATTTTGTGATGGTTTTTTCTTATATCTGATTTTCAGGAGGCACGATCAATCAAGAAATTACCTACCTTGATTCACTCTGGTTTAGTGGCTGTTTATGGCACGGTTGTTTTGAATCAGATAGTTCTCTTTTTGGGAACAGATGATGGACAGTTACTGAAGGTAAGATGATTGTGGTGGTTCTCCATTTCTCTGTCGACTGCTGCTGTGTTCAAGTGGGTAAATGTTTCCTGGTTTAGGCACTGTATTATAAACAGATACAGTCCCCTGAATCTCTATTTCTTTCTTGTTCGTTTGTGAAGTAACTGTTGTGTTGTTACTTGGAGAGCAAACTTAACTTTCAGAATCAATTATGTACCCTGCTTCAATTTCATTGAAACATTTCATTCAACTGCTAGTACCCACAGTGTCAATTTATGGACTGTCTTTTGTTTCCTTCCTTATTTTGATTTTCCAGGAGAAATATTAAATATTGTTAGATTTTGGAAGCATATTTGTTTGTTAGCCTATCTGTATGATGTGAATAGCTGTCTGTTAGAGAGAAAAGTCTTTGCTTCTGAGTAGTTGACATATTCTAGCTTAAATCAATCACCTGGAAGTGAAAGTCATCTTATCTCATTATTAAACTTTTCAGCTATCCAGTAGAATGTCTTTTATGCTTGAATTTTTTACTGGGTTTTGCAAGAATGTGTATTTCCTGTCTACACTGCAAAGGGTGACTCTAATTTTTGGTTTTAATAAGCAGACACTTGGAGAAGAATATAGTAGAGAGCTTGAAAAGCTTTTGCCCACTTGATTTCATTGTGCTTTTAGTAATGAAAAATGGAGAAGAGAAGGCTGCATGGAGACCTCATAGCAGCCTTCCAGTATCTGAAGGGGGCCTATAGGGATGCTAGGGAGGGACTCTTCATTAGGGACTGTAGTGACAGGACAAGGGGTAATGGGTTCAAACTTAAACAGGGGAAGTTTAGATTGGATATAAGGAGGAAATTCTTTCCTGTTAGGGTGGTGAGGCACTGGAATAGGTTGCCCAGGGAGGCTGTCAATGCTCCATCCCTGGCAGTGTTCAAGACCAGGTTGGACAGAGCCTTGGGTGAGATGGTTTAGTGTGAGGTGTCCCTGCCCATGGCAGGGGGGTTGGAACCAGATGATCTTAAGGTCCTTTCCAACCCTAACTATTCTATGATTCTGTGATTCTATTCTAAATGGAAGTCTTCCATGTCTCCTTAACACCATAGAGGTCATGAACATATCTCCCTTTTTTAGTCGTGTTTATGGAAAACCTTCTGTCAATGTTGGTATGCTTGTTATGTTGCAAAATAAATTTTCTGAGTCTCTGGTTCTCTTGAATTCTATATGAACAGTGGTAGAAACCTGTAGAGTTGGGCAAGGTAAGAAAAAGAAATACCATCTCAGATGTATACTCACAGAAACCACAAAGAACATTCTGTTCTGGAGACAGTTGTCAGTAACGTGCATAAGTTCCTCTTTACATTATGGGTCTCTGGATGTTAATTTATTTCATGAAGGCTAATACTTTCTCCATTTGTAGGACTGTGTAGCACATTATGACTGGGATATAGGCGTATCTTCTGCATTGAGTTTCCGCATCAATCAGGAACATACTCAGTGGAAGTGATATTTCATATACTAAACCAGTGCCAGATTCAGTGCAAAATGTGTCTAGCATGGATTTGGTTAAAAATCTGTTGTGGAGGTCTTTTCCTCCATCTTTCTGCAGCGTGAAAGCCAGTGCAGTAGGTGAATTGAATCAGGGCACAGGAAATCACCTCAGAAGCTTTGATGTAGCTGAAATTATGCTTTTATTTAAAATGCTAACTGATCAGTAAAAGGACTTTTGAATAATTCGATTTTATGTGTTTCAGGCTATTCTTAATGAGGATATGGAATCTAATTGCCCAGAGATTTTATATGAAATTAAGGAAGAAACCTCCATTTTCCCCAAACTTCGACTTGATCCAGTAGATAACAACTACATCTATCTGTCCTCTGCCAATAAGGTAAGTACAGTATTAAATTAAATAATAAATTCCAGCTAACTGCTGCTTTAAGGATTTCTGTCACTTTATGAGTGAAGCACCAGTTTGGGTCAGAGTTATGCCTTAAAATACTCAAACTACAGTTTCTAACTTTACATCTACTTTATGTTATCTAAGTTTGGGCTGCACTTCTGTAGAGCTCAGAATAGCTGAATAGGTGTATTGTGCTGCCCACTGATCCAGAAACACCCTTAATTCATGCTTAATACGTCGTTCTGTTGAGAGAGTCCTTGTTTCTCTTTTTTCCTGGAGGCATCATGCAGAATCAAGCTAGGAGTAAGAAACAAAACTTGTAGACTCTTTGGAGACAGAGTTCCTCTGAATTAGTAATCCAGGTATTGGCAGGTCAGGGTATGCTAGTTCTTAATGGGGAGAAATCTCTTAATTTGAGATGGAATTAGTTCTTTAGTTTAGAAGTTTTAGTTCTGTTGAAATCGATGATAAAATTCCTATCATCTTCAGTTAGGCCTAGATTTTAAAACAAAACCACAATCAGAAGTGATTAATGTCTGCAAAGTGAGGTGAAGGAGTTCAGCAGTCACTGGAGCTACTGCATGTGGGCAGGCATCTCAGAGCTGCATGTTAAGCAGAGAGCTTCTCGCAGGAGCTGGTGCAGTTGTTGCTGCCTGTCCTGCATCAGGGCTACTGAGCATCAACTCAGCATATTCCTTTGTCTCACCAGCAGTGGGGAAGATGGCAGTGAAAACGTAAGGTTTGTCTGTCCATCTTAGCTGGACAAGATTTTACCCAGCACTTGGTTACCTTTGTTTACAGTTAAATCCCTTTTCCGGTAGTGAACATAGCATTTTAACATGCTGTATGAGTGGGTAAGTTGGTAGGAGAACTCCTGACTGAAATAACCTGTTCATCAAAAATGCATAAGGGATCAAAATTTCAGTCAAAAGTGTATGTAGATATTCAAAGTAACGACTTTCATTTTCTATAGCTTTGGTAAAGGAGTTACAGAGGAACAACAGCTTTTAGGAATAAATGCCTCTCTGATCATCTCTTGGAGCTTACATAAGGCTTCTACACTGTCTTTGTTAACTTGCTAGTAGTCTATGATGTTGGGTGGTTTCTGAACTGGTCATCTCGCATGCCTTCAGATAAATTGAATTTTACAAGGTACAGCTGAAAACCCCAGTAAATATAGTTTTGCAGAAAGCCATGTATCCTCGTTGCTTTTTCAAACAGTAGGAACTTTTAATTCTTATAAGTTTGTAAAAAAAAAAGGTTTGAATAAGGAATATTTTTCTAAGATTATTGATTAACATTGTGATTAATAACAGTTATTTGTATTCAATATTTGTAATCAGCTTTCTCTTTTTCTTTTTCCTTTCCTTTTCTGAAAATGGCTGGCTAGGATATTCAAGCTGAATGTACAAGTATAGCTACATACAATATAGCTGCAATTATTTACATTTATTTATTGAAATGGCATTTTCATGCATGCTAAGTAGTTGCATGTATTTGTTCTAGTGTGCACATGCAGGAACCTGACATGGTGATGCAAACACAGATGCATTTTGTTTTGTGCATGCATTTTTGGATGCACCTTCATCAGTCATTTAATAATCTCAGTTTTGGTGAGAGGAAAATGGTGTTCTGCTAAGCAAAGCATCATTTGTAAAATATACCTCTTTTCTATTGTTATCTATAATTCACTATGCTAATCAGTCTTTCTTGCATTAATCTGTCCATGCTGGCCTTTGAGTAATAGAACCAAATTGTCATTATCAGAAGTGTTTCATCATATGATGGCAAAATACAGCGTGTGTAAAATAGGCTGCATATTTCTATCCAAAGGTCTTCTGACAGAGGGGAGTCCATAGGGAAACTTCCCCAGCGGGATTGTGCTTGGTTGCTGTCAGATTTTTAATGGTAACCCTCAATTTCCTGCTTTATGGAGGCTATTTTAATTCAGTGTGTTATTGCGTTCTTTGGTTTTAGGTGAGAAGAATACCAGTTGCAAATTGCAGTAGATACATTTCCGAGCAAGAATGCTTATCTGTAAAGGATCCGTACTGTGGGTGGTGTTCTTTGACTCAAAGGTATTATTTTTTGTATTTTAGACTTTCATGTAAGAGGAATAAACTATCAGTCAGTGTACATTTTGGCTGCCTTGGGGCTATTCAGCATCAGAATTATGTATCTAGTGAATTTTTATGGAATCAGTTATAGCCATAAATGTAAGACACTTTATTGTCATGTGAAAGGGAGCTCTGCACCTTTTAAAGACTATGTTAACCCTCAGATTTTTGAGACCTAATCATGGAATATATGTTGGGCTAAGAAGAAGAAATTACTTTGTTTATAGAACAGCTGGTTTTGCTTTCCAGGTTGATAGATAAAATTCTGTACTCATGCTTGAAGTATCATAGCTGGGAGCAACTTGCATGGGTGAATGGGGAAAGAGTGCTCAGTTATCTTAAGTATTCATAGTTCCTTGCTTTGGAATCACCGTCTTTGGTTTAGGCCAGAGGAGAATTTCTTTCTAAGTGTTTCATCCCCGCATTTGAGTCATTAGTTTCGCCACTTTCTTTGAAGCAGATTTGAAAGCTGTTGCATGTCTTTGGCCTGGACTGAAGAAATTCCTGGGTCATCAAGCCTCGTGTTGCAGTTGCAAGCAACCACATTATGTCAACTTATTCATAAACTAATCCTAAATTTAGATATGCTTTTTGTCCTTCCTGACCTGGTTGTGTGGCTGCGAGTCTCATTTTCCTGCTGGTTAAAATCTCTCTGCTCTTTTTCATTATGTGTAAGTTCATGGACAGGTTATACTCATTTGCTCTGGTGCTCACATCGCCTGGGCTTAAATATGTGATCCCCCCTCCCTCACACATCCTCAGTGTTACTGCAGAAGCAGTCTCTTTTTTTCAATTCTCTTCTGATGTGCTGAAGCAGCTAACGTCACTAGTATCTTTTCACATAAGATTCTCTTTTCTTAACTCCGTCCGCTTCAGTAGCCCTTCTGTGGAGTTTATGCAACCTTTTAAGATAAAGATGGCCAGAACTAATTATCGTAGTATTCCAGAAGAAATATCAGCTGTGCCCTGCTCAAAGGTGTTTAATCAGTCTGTCCAGAAGGCACCTTACTTAGTGTGTCCTTGGATTACAAACGTCTTTTTCATGACAGCATCACATTGATGGGCCACAGTCACCCATCATCAAATAATGCCCCAGGTCATTCTCTTTCTTTGTTTTCTTTCCATCTGATGAGTTTCCACTCTATAACACATACGGGTTGTGAGATTTTTATTGCTCTAGGTGCATGTTCTTGTACTTTATACTTTGATATGTCATCCCATTTCAAGGTTATTCAAGTTTTTCTGTGATTCTCATCTTCCTCTGCATGGTAATGTTCCCAATTTTGTATCATCAGCAGATGTCGACAGTGTAAACTTTCTTTAATGTCAGCTTATCAGTGATTAAAACATTAAACAAAAGTGGTTGTAAGATTGATTTTTGAGGAAATCCACTAGTAGCCTTCTTTTAGAAAGTTAATATGACCCATTTTGGAAGTGTTCAGGGCCAGGTTGAATGGGGCTTTGAGCAACCTGGTCTAGTGGAAGGTGTCCCTGCCCATGGCAGGGGGCTTGGAACTATATGGTTTTTAAAGTCCCTTCCAACCCAAACCATTCTATGATTCTATGATTTTGGTTTGTTTTGGTGTTAATGTGGTTTTGCTTATTTTTTTTGTGTTTGCAAAATTAGTTACTAGAAGAGAGTATACTGTAATGTCTTTTCTTCAAACTCTTTTTTTGCTACCTTGTTAGAAACTGTATATGTTACAGTGCTAACTTTTTTAGTTACCTTATAAAGAGTTGTGAATAACAGTTATTAGTCAGTAAATCCCCTGTTATGAGGGGAATCACCAAAAGTTTCCATCTGGTTGAAACAGAAACAATTTATTCTTTTGAAAAAAAAAAAAATTACTATAATATGAATCTTGTTCAACACCCACGTAATTTTTCACTCTGAAGTACTTGGCATCATTAAATATTTGGTTTTGTGAAGAGAGAGCACTGAGTGAAGCTTTAGAAAAATAAAACATGGTTTTAGACTATATTTTAATTCAATACATCCATCCATGTCCACTAAAACAATATATTCCGCAATAATTTTGAGATCAATGATATGTTTTGAAATTTAACGGGAAATAAATTTTATATTAAATATGCCCTCCATTTTTAAAATAAAACTTCCCAGAAGTGCTTGATTTTAAAGACTGTGTCAATACAAATCCAGTATTTTGATGAAAAAAATCTACACATCTTACTGCCAGTGAAAACAATATGAAACAAAATGTTTCTACTGTTCCTATTTCTACTCTTTCTTCCATAGGGACAAATATATAAATTCTTTTTTTCACTTACAATCATTCAAAACAATTATTCATAGCATTTCATAGCATAGATTCCTCTCAATGTTTATAGATTTTCTCTAGATGAATCAGATTTACCTAAAGTATGCTGAAGTTATTCCAATACAAAGCACTAATGCTTTACATTTATTTTCCATATGGAAATAACGTGATATGCCTCATTTATCTGCTATGACCAGACCCACTTTTGAATTTGGTCAGTGTGCATGGCATCTGTGGACTTCATTCAGGGGCTGGCACCCTGAAAAAGGAAGCCAAATCTTTTCCTGAAGCTGTATTCTCGCTCCATGAGGAAATCAGTATGCTTTAGCAGGGCAGGCAGGGCAAACTCAGTAGGCAATGTAGTTAATACAAGATTAGTGAAGCAGAGACTTCAGTAAATATGAATGAACCAGTATGCATAGGTATTGTGTTATCAAAATAAAAGGAACTCGATCCCAATTGTGAAGAGGAACCCTTAGCTGTATAAAGAACTAGCTTGCTGTAAAAGGTTAAAAAGCATCTTTACTCTGCTTTTCACTGTATACATATCTATGTATGTCTGAAATCTGATCATAGGATTTCATACCTTCATACTTCTGTAGGTTCTGGTCCAGTCCAGCTTTTCAGGAAAGCCAGACATAGCAGCTGTCTGAGTCTGTATGTTAATTTTCAGAACCATGTGGTTCTCAAATAATATTTATCTGTTATATTCATTCCAGTGTGCTTGCAAACAGTGTCAGTTGTCTAAAAATAGGGAAATAATAAAATAATCTCATCTTTTGGTGAGTGGAATTCATATTATTCTTGGCCTGTGCAAAGTTATTGCAAGAATTTATACTGAGGGGCATCAGATACTCTACTACTCCCTTTGTGACTGCTTCCTATGAAATGGTTGTTCTCCAGAGCACATTGTTTGATTGTTAAGGGTCAGCTTTTAGAGCAACAAAAGGCACATTTTTCCTGGTATGAAGACAAGCATGACCCTGCATCCTGGGTGGCAGTACTTTTTTTGCCATATACTCTTAGATTATTCATTGTAGACTGAGGGAAACAAGTTCATTTCCCTCAGGCAGTCTAAGGCAGCAAATAACTTTGTCCTAGGACAGTTTTATATATATAGCTTCATGCATAGTTTTCTTTTTTAATATTTTAGTATTGGTGTCATTGAAATGCATACACTTGTTTAGTTCTAAAGATTTTAAGTGTGTTGCCTTGCATCCTCAATATCACCATTTTCAGCCTGTCAGAAACTGTAGGATGTCTCTTTCCTATGTGTCATTGCCAGTGAGAGTTACCTATCTGTACATATCCAAGCATCTGGTTTCTGCACAGCTGTTGACTACAGATCCCATCTTCTGTGGTTCTTAAACTGTAGTGTTGATGGACCTTTGTGATCTCAGTAACGTGAAGAGAGATAAGAGACTGAAATTCATCCTACTTGAGACAGTTCAAAATATGCAAGGCATAGTCTCAGTTTCTTACAGTATAGTTATGATCTGAATGTATTCAGATGCAAAGCCCTGCCAGGTTCTTGTGCAGCAGGAACTCAGTTTCCTGAGTAAGACCACAAAGGAAGTGACCTTGTGCTTAACTGCATTCCAGTTGCCAACATCGTGGTCTAGAGAAGATGGCTTTATGGTTTCTATAGTTTGTGGGGTTGTTTCAGACATTTTGGAAAGAGGTAGATATTTTTCTTGGAAGTCATTCTTGTATTGTTCCTTCTGGAGAGAAAACTCATTGTTTGTGAAATTCCTTTATACAGCGAGCTCCTCATAAAAAAGGCCCATGCTTTGCAAGTGTGTTCTTGTTTCTATTTTTGAATGAAGGAATAGTTCATTAAGGTGCATGTTACTGATCACATGACAGAAGCTATACATTCTTCTGCATTTGGTAGAAAAGTAGTAGTATTAAAACAATATTAAATGTTACATTTATAATTATTCAAGCTTAGTATTTAAAATAGTAAGATGCATGCATTAGCACTTGTTTTTAGTTGCTAGCTATATGAAGTTGCTTGGAGTTAATCTATGGATTCTTCATTACCTGTACACAGTTAGTGAACACCGCAGACAGTATTTTAAGGATTCACCCTTCAAACTCAGTGATTTCAGAATTTGTATGCCTGTGTTCTCTTTTGCTTATCATGTTATTAATATATGTCGTCTTTATATTACTTGTGTATTGCAGTGTTTCCTCATTCTTCCTTAATTTTCTGTTGTGTAGTTTCTGTTTCCTACAATTTGCCATCTATAACATTATTATTTACTTTGTGCCATCCTACTTCTGAAATGGATTTTATTCTTGAAGACAGAGAAATCTATTTTGAACTGCCATTTCAAATTCGGTGTTTTGTAACCAAGTGCACTGACATAAAAGGGAGAGATTACCATTCAGTTCAGTGGGCGACAGAGTGGATTAGGAAGGGGGATGCATCTCATCAACTATTCACATTCATAGCGTAGCTCTACATCTGAGCTTCACCCCCATCTCCTCTCATACTCATTGGAGAGAAAAAGCAGCTTCTATAGTATGATTCATTTCATTTTGAATGAATGTCTAAAACAGGATATGTGAATTGCACCCTGAAAGAGCATATTTCTTCCCACTGACTATAGAGGGAACTGGGGTGGATCAGATCTAGAGATGTACAATGGAGCAGTCAAGTTGGGGTTTATGAATTCCATCCCAGGCTATGAAGCCCACAGTTGCTGGCCAGGCATCTAATATTTGTTTGATTCCCATTGACTTAATGAGGACCCTAAAGCATATATCAATGCATTGTAATTTATTTTGATAAACAGATTTTACTGATTGTTTTCCTGAAGCTTTTTGTACTTATAACCATATTCCTGTGAAAAATCAATAGTGTTTGTGTAAAAAAATCAATAGTGTTTGTGTTAAAAAATCTATATTGTTAAATAAGTTACCGTATTTGAAGTCAAAGGCATGATAAGGATGAAAATTACATATAATACATATAATATGTATAATATATATATGTCTATCTGAATATATACATGTATACATATACATATATGTATATATACATATATACATATAATACATATAAGGAGGAAAATTACATATAATTTTATGTATACTTTTAGGTGCACATTGAAAGAAAATTGTACACATTCAAACAGCATAAAGGGTTGGTATAACATTTCACATGCACATGATAAAGATCTGAAAATCCACCTAAGTTTCCCTGCCAGAAATCAGGTATGTACACCCAGTTTTATGCATGTTTGTTTATTGTGACTTAAAATATGTCATTTTGTCACGTATTGCAGCTTCCCTTCTTTTGTCACCATGTTCCATGTGTTAGTCTCTCTTGTCTGGACAATTGGCTAATGTATTGGAAATCCCAATAAGTTGAATGTGTCGATCAGATAGATGTTTTCTTCCTCTTGTATAAAACCTATCCTGAAGCTATACTTCATGATGTTAAGTCAAAAATTCACCCTGCTGACAAAGGCAACATTTTCATTATATCACTTGTCAGCTATTTTAATATTTCCAGTGACAATATATCAAATGCATTATGTAAGTTTTGAGCTTCGTAACAAGTTACAAAGCATTCACTGGGACACATATGCTAACACAAATGCGTCTTTAAGTGCTTAGTATTAGTATTTACTCAGTATCTGTTCACAGCGCACACAGCCTTGAGTATTTGATTATCAAGTATTGTGACTAGCCACTTAATCTGCATGCTATTGTTTCTGGTTTCCTGATTGAATGCACTAATGTGATCATATTTGTAAAGCGCTCTCAGCCAGAAACAAAGGATAATTCATTACGAGTCAAATTCTTTTTCATAATTAAGTGCAGTTTGGTTATGGATGCAAATGTTGTCTCTCTGTGAGGATTTGTATATTCTGGCTCAAATATTTCTAAAGGACTATAGCAGTATATAATGCTGTTATATATAATGCTGTTGTAATGCTGTTATATAAAGCTGTTACAGCAAAATTCTTGGTTTAAAATCCCAAATTGTTCCAGATTGCTCCCCTAGCATACCTTACAGATCCATTTGATTTCTGGAAGTAAGCAATGCTGTTCCTTTCAGGACTCTTTGGGTATTGCTTCTTCAGCTGGGAGAGGCCCTCTCCTTTGAGAAGCTACCTGGTGTCACACAGTATCACAGTATGCTAGAGATTGGAAGGGACCTCAAAAGATCATCTAGTCCAATCCCCCTGCTGGAGCAGGAACACCCAACTATCTTGGGCCCCTTTTCCTTCAAGCAGCCTTGCCCATGGGATTTCCCCTAGCAATTGCTTGAAAAGGCCAAAGTTTGCCCTGCTAAAGTCCAGGGTTGCAATTCTACTTGGTATTCTACTAGTCCTACCACACAAGATCCTGAACTTCACCATCTCGTGGTCGCTGCAACCAAGGCAGCCCTCAACCCTTACTGCTTCAACCAGACCCTCCTTGTTAGTGAGGATGAGATCCAGCAGCGCTCCTCTCCTGGTCGGCTCATCCACCATTTGCAGGAGGAAGTTATCATCCACACACTGGAGGAACCTCCTGGACTGTCTGCTTCCACCACAAGCATTTTCATTTTGTGCACTTCCTGATTTGTATTTTGCTGTAAAGACAAGGTGAGAACTTAGCAAACATTACAAGAAATGTTGTATTCTTTTTTTTTATTGTTTTATAGGTTGCTATGTCTGCAAGTATAAGCAAAATCCTTACTTCCTGTATGATAAAGATTATAACACCTGCTGAAATATTTTATGAAAATGTCGTACTGAAAAACTCATCCTGTTTCTGCAATCTGACCACTCTGGTGATAACTGATAATGGTATGTTTTACTAGTATGTGTGTTTAATGCTTATTCACTGTCCTTTATTACTGAGAAGAACTGAACATAAATACAGGCCTAATAGTGAGAGTAGGTAATGCTTTTTATTAAATGTCACTGAAAAAAAATAATGTTTTGTCAAGTGATTTGAGTAAACTCACACTATTCTTGATAAAGATTTGATAATATGCAGTCCTTCCTAGGAGTAATAAAACGTGTTAACCTATGGTTAGAAGCAGCTTCTTCAGTTCAGCCTATAGCAGTGCAGTGAGTGCATTAAGAGTATATTTACATGGGGCCATTAATCAGTGTCCAAGGAAACTTTAGATAGCTGCAATGTCAATCAAGCAGGCTGGAGCTGTGTAAGCAGCACGGTCCAGTGCTCTGCCTTGACAGATTAACCCATCTTAAAACCCTTCTCTCATCTTCCAACAGAATTTGGTTTTGCAAGAAACCATACTAGCATATGTAAGAGGAAAGTCTGAGTATGAATGCCTGTACAATAAATAATCTTAGCATTCAATTAACTGTTTCAACCTGACTTAGACACTATGAGAAAGTGATTGTCTCATGTAGAGGATTAGCAGAGTGTCATGGTTTAAACCCAGTCAGGTAACTCGTTCACTCACTCCCCCCCCTTTCTTGCCCTCCCCCTGCTCCCGGAGGGATGGAGAGGAGAACTGAAAAGAATGCAACTCCCACGGGTTGAGATAAGAACAGTTTAGTAACTAAGGTATAACACAAATCACTACTGCTACCACCAATGATAATAATGATAAAGGAAATAACAAGGGAAGAGAATACATCATCTCACCACCAGCCGATCGATAACTCGTCCCCCCAGCCCGACCAAGCCTGACCGATACCTCCTCCAACCCTGCAGTCCCCCAGTCCTTCCGGCTAACTCCCAGTTACCTCCTGGGCATGACATGCTGTGGTATGGAATACCTCTTTGGTCAGTTTGGGTCAGGTGTCCTGTCTCTGCTTCCTCCTGGCTTCCCTTCCTCCCTGGCAGAGCATGAGGCTCACAAAGTCCTTGGCCAAACCAAAACATCGCTATCAGTTCTGTTCCCAGGCCGAAAGTCAAAACACAGCACTGCACCAGCTACCAAGAAGGAGAAAAATGACTGCTACTGCTGAACCCAGGACACAGAGAAATTGAGGGGCAGTTTGACTAGTACATCTTTTTGGCTTAATTTCATTCATTGTTCTGACCTACTAGTTGAATCAATTTGCAATATGTCTTGTACTGCTTTGTTCACCAGTAATTCGCAGAAAGTAGAGATCTGAGCCATTTTTCTTGGACACATGCTGCATGTGGTCTGTTTTGTGCATCTTATGGGCAACTACAAGTTTTAGAATGAGGTGGTAAATTACTGAATGCCTAAACATTTGAGTTGTTCTCTAGGCTTTGGTCTTACAGATCAGATGATAAGCCTTACAGTATAATCTTACTTGACTAATAGGAGTAAAACATCCCCCTTGCATTGCTTCAAGGGTCTATATAGAAGCACAGTGCTTTTATAATACAGGTTGACCTTGTTAATTTTTTTATTTGTTTATATTGGAATAGAAAAGAGAGTTTTAATCTAAACTGAGGGACAGAGATAGCAAGCCCAAGGATACCGTGTGCTCTTAAGTGACTTGAAGAGGAATCACAGAATTCAGATAAATGCCTGCCTTTATCTTTTCCTAGATAATGCACCCAAAAAGACATGTAATACTCTGCATGGATCTGATTCTCTTATAATACCTTTGTGTAGTAGGAGTAATGGCAGGCTTAAAATGACCTATTGTTCTGAAGAGCTTAGTGCTGCAAAGAGCTTTGTTTCTCGGGGACCCTTGCCCCTGAAGGAGGTTCCCTGGAATACTGGGAATATTGGGATCTCAGGAGCTCAACCTATGGCCTTTGTATGGGAAAAGCCTCTCTGGCATCATGCAAGGGTTGTGTCAAGTTCCTGTCCAATATTAATTTGGGAATCAAGATTGTCACTAGCAGGTGACAGTTAGGGTGATATGATCCGTAAGTATCCTGGTCTATTAAGCTGTCTTCAGTAAACACTGCTGGTAGATTTTTAAGAGGGACAAATGCATTAGAGAAGAAAAAAAATGTCCTTTATTGACTCAGCCCGTGAAGACCTGTTTTCTTAGAATTATGTAGTACATTGCTTTGGTTCTCTGTCTTCCCAGATTAAGGCTTTGTCTTCCTCCATCAGCAGGTTTTAGGAGTATAGTGTTACAGAAGCCAGCTTGCTTTGCCTGTGCATTGTGCCAAAGATGAGCTCTTTGACAGTCTTAACCAGAAGGCTGTGAGTTTAGCTTGTGCCTCCCACTATTATTGCCACTCGTGCGCTCTTATGAGCTGAGATGTATTAGTGGATAATGCAAGTGTGGAAATTATGTTAACTCTTTATGGTACCTTATGTAAAGTGACCTCAGTTTCACAAGAAGGTGCCCTTTCAAAACTCCTTCAGATATCATTTCTGGAAAAAATAAACAACCACTTTGAAATACCTTCTACTTAATGCAGTCTGGTGCATTTGAAAGGTCAGCCCAGGCCCTAGAGAAAATAATAGGTTCCATTAATTGCAGCTCAGGCAAAATCGGGAAGCCATTTCTGACAGCATTGTTTTTAAAATATTTGTACAAACTTAAAAGGATTTGTACAAATGTAAAAGAGAAAACAAGCTCTGCCAGAAGTAGATCAATTCCTAACTTTTACTTACTACTCCTAGAATCATACTATTTTTCAGTAGCTCATGGCTTGAGACCCTTCTTGTGTAATGATGTAGGCAAGTGATTTAGGCAATTAGATGCTTGGTGAAGGATTTTAGAATGTCTATGTGTGCTTATCCACATCTTCACGCATTAAGCACCTTTAAAAATCAGACTCTTTGATATCCATAAAGGTATTTAGGCATACAAACAGTCCCAATGGCTGTTTCTAACACATCGAGCAGGTGACCTCTACAGTGAGCACCTGAGTGCCATGATGACATGTAGAGCAAGGAGATACTTTTTATTTAACAGTGTATATGTAGCCAAAGCTGGCTTTCATCTGAACAAGCCAGCCTGTCATGAAGACAAAGCTTTCTCTATCTTTGCAAGGTAGGTATACTTTAAATCTGTGTAACTTTCACAGATTAAAAAAGCTATCTACTTCCTAGCATAGAGAAGCCAGAAAAGTCTGCACACATGGGTTTCATTTGATCTCAGACAGTCATTCATTTCACAGACATACACATCTGCAGGCACACAGATGAAAGGGAACATGGTTTAAGTGGTACATATCTAACTCTACTTTTCGATGTGGTATTCTGCTCATAGGAGAAGATACTCTTTCATTCCACAGCTGCCAGTGAATTGTCGGTATAGTAATTGCTAGCTGAAATAATGGCAAATTGACTCATGCTATCATAAAAGATTTAAATAGGATGAAAATTGCTATGGCATAGATTACAAAAGAAGACTTTGAAACCAAGTCTCAGACTGAAAGAGAGAGAAGTGCAGTATGTTGGGGTCTCTCACATTGAAACAGTCTGTTGTGTTAGAGGGCTTGAATTTGGGGTCTAGCTGTGCCACAGTATACCACTGTGTGCTCTTTGGGAGATGGTCTTATATCCTGGCTTCGTGGTAGCATTTCCTTATCTGTATCCTTACAATAACATTGTTTTTGTATGTCATGCAGTGGTAGCGTCAAGCTTAATTAGTGAGAGTGTATGAAGTCTTGGAATAACTCAGCTGAAGGGGGTGCTATGGGAGGATAAAATTTAGTTATTTTTATCAGAAATCAAAAGAGTGAGTGAATGTATGAGAGAAGGTGCATAGCACGTAGAGAACAGGTGAAGAAGGCACTTGAGCTTTCAACTCAGTTATTTTTTACAGTTATTTCTTGTAATATCCAGCATATGTCTAACTGTGACATTTTTCCAGATTGTCTTGTTATCGAAGCATCGCTGTCCTCAAGCTCTTGGAATATCACACAAACATTTCAGTTGAAAAAGTAAGAGCCTGGTTCCTATTGAAGTTCACTGAGGGGTTGGAAAAGGGGAGGGAGGATGGGGGCCTGAAGTATGATAGTTTTTTTTTTTTTTTGTATTTATTAAGGAAATACATTTCACTGAAGATTATCAAATCCCTTTTCTTGGCCCATTTCTTGCTTCTCCTCCTTTTTTATTGTCCTCAGAAAGCTACTTCTTCTGATGACTTTTATTTAAGGGGACCCTGGCAGCTGGCTGTAAGGAAGTCGATACAATGACTGAACTTATGACACGTGCCTGAAGAGATAATGAAAGATGTCACAATGACATTAAAAGTTTTTTTGTCCTTGTGAAAAAGGTGGGCCTCTGGTACTCAGAATAAGACCTAGATTAGAGGAGTCAAGATTCTGTAAAAGTTATTTATGGAGCTGTTTTTTAATAGAGCCAGGTACAATTTAAATATGGTCCACAGGTAACATAAATACAATTAAAACAGAAAATTGCATCTAACTGCTTATAGGAATAATGAATAACTATTGTTCTGTGCACATTATTTTTCAGAGCCACACACTTTGTTGAGAGCTTGCAATAGAAAGCATTTCTACCCAGTACATGGCCTAACCCTTTATGATATCTGGTTGTTAAAACTTAGATCTGGTTAACACATGCTGTAGGTAACTACAGTGTTCCTGTTCAGAACCCTCTTCTGTGATATGCAGAGGCTAATTCACAGGCCCTTGGGATGAAATCAAACTCCTGCTTTTTTGGGAAGTGGTACATCACTTCCTGGTCCCTGGAGCAATGCAGGGAAGGAGCTGTCTTTCTCTAAATCAGAGCATTTCTCAGCATGTGTGGAGAGGGCTTGTGCTGCTCTTGGCTCTCCTCCATGCTGATAGATGCATTGCAAAGCAATATGTGGACAAATTAGTCTCTGACAGGCATATTTTTTGGTAGGGGAAGGCAATAGCAAACTAGCAGTACTTGCTAGCACTACACACACGGAACAGAAGTTCAGGCAAGCTGTGAGTCAGTAATGGTTTTCTGCCCCTTTCTAGTTAAAAAGTATTATCTGGCCACTTTTGTACTGGAGAAAACCACAACAGAATGAAATCCAAAGTGTTCCAGCTGCTTCGTGCTTTTTGGAAATTTATGACTCAGCATCTCAGCACAGACTGTATTTCAAACCCTAGATTTGCCCTCAGAATAAGCACAACAGAACAATAGACTTGGAGCGTAAATGCAGGTTATGTGGTTTACACATTTCATTACATATTTGCCAGGTTGTTCTCAGCAGTTTGTGCTGTTTTCTGTCACTTGAAATTTTACATTCACGGCTGAATCTAGATTGAGTTCCTGTGTCTTACAAAACCTCTGTTTTCTGTGTTCCCAGCTGCTTACAATGTATACACAAGGGTGAATGTGACAGCTGTAAATGGACGCGTGTCTCTCCTGCCACCACCTGCCAGGTGAAGTTTCTTGGGGAGAACTGGGATCCCCTGTGATGCCTTTTTCCTTGTGTTTCTCACATCTGAGCAGCAATCACTCTCTTCCTTGTCCTGACATGGAGAAATGCTGTTGGTTTTTTTTTTTCAGGATAGCTGTAATGCAGCTGCTTCCAAGGGGATTGCCACTGCACAGAAAACAGAGGTTAGTTAGCATCTTAAGATTGGCATTATTGTGTTTCTGTGGGTTGGGGGAAAAATGTATTTAAAATAAGGAGACTCTGCAGTAGGAGCAGAAATCTGGATGAGGAGCCAGTCAGTTGGTTACATAGAAAGGTAATGCAGAGCTTGATACTCTTTTTTTCATAGTGCTTGGTAAGTCCTTGTATGCTGTATTTAGGCACTCCACAAGAGCCAGCGTACGTGAGTGCCGGGACGTGTAAGCTGACCAACACCACCAACAAAAAAAAAACAAAACAAAAATAGAGGAGAACATCTTGAACTTAATCTCTTACCTAGACTTAAATGCATGTTTGAGTTCTGCTGTCATAGAGAACTCTGCTAAGTTAGGTTTCAGAGTCCCAAACTTCTTCATTTTGTGTAGTCAGATCACAGCTTCTCCTGAAACATAGCTTCCAGGGGAGCAGAAGAAATGGAGGGGGGGAATGTGCCACCCAGTTTCTAAGTGGCTAGAGGATGCATCCAGAAACTGAAATCCCTGGATGTTAGTAAATGCCTGGTTCACATTTCAGAAAAAAATTTGTTGCTTTCAGGCTGTAGACAAAACTGGAAGTGGAGCTACTCTCCGTCTATCCTGCTCAAGGTGGATCACTGAAAATGAAGGAGTGTCACTGGTGCCAGAGTACCTTTTGAATCTGGTTGTTGAGTTTCTGTTGAAATCACACAGACTGTATGTGAGCGTACAGTCTTACGTGATTTGCCTCGTAGAGCAGCCCTTTAACCACAAGGTTATCCCTTCATTCTCTGTGGTGCCAAAATGGTTTTATTTTCTCATAAAACTAAGTGGTCTTGTCATAAGTGGTTGCTTATGACATGCAGGTGTTAGGGAAGAAATGAGCAGTGAAGAGAAATTTGACTGATGAGTAAGTACATAGAGGTTTACTGCCTACACTCTTTGGTTTCTGCTTTTCCATGAGTGATAGCACAGTTGGTATAAATAGCAAGTGTGTTCTTATCCCTAAATGTTTTGTTAGAACTACCCAAACTTTTACCTAGGAAGACAGGTAAAATTCAGCCTCTTAAATTCAGATGTTCAGTTGAGGTTTCTTACACAAAATCACAAAATTCATTTTGTTTTTCACAGAGATGAGTGGGATTATAGTACTTGTGATTCTGAGCATTAATATTCTAGATTTGGTCTGCATATAAAGCATTATGGCTGGTGAAAGAACAGAGGAAATTCTTCTTTGCTCTGCTTCCAAGTGCATTAATTTGACATTGGTAAATAGTTGGAATTGCCTGGGAGATGGCTTTCTTCCACATGCCTTATCTTGGAAAGACAGTGATGGACAAAGCAGTGAAAGCACTAGAGGCAGTCCAAATGCAGACGTTTGTTTAGAAGTGATTGATCCATTCAGAGGGCTTGAAATTGCATTTGAAATCCTGCTCTCCTTTCACTGCTGGTGCTTTAAGGAGAGCATACTGGAGAGCTGAGAAAGGGGGTTTGTTTTTTTCCCACAACCGCAGCTGATCATTTAGATTAATACAGTTTTTTCAGTGGCAGCCCCAGCCTCCTCCTGAGTCCAGCTGCTGGATTCCATGCAGGCACCTTCCCGCTCCCTGCGCCAGAGCAGCAGAGTGGTTGCACAAGTATGGTTGGCTGGGGAAATTTGATTTGTCTGGAAATAAACATTGTCTTTTGGCTGGTTATTTTTCATCTGGGCTAGTTCCTGATTGAATTCTTCACACGGCCTTGAGGCCCTGTGCTGGCACCACAGGAGGGCTATGCTGGAGCAGGGATGAGCTGCCTAGGGTGACAGAGCCTGCTTAGCCTCAGATGCTGCCAGGTATCTCAATGGTACCTGCAGTCATGCTAATCACACCTCTGAGGATGTGGCTGGCACTGTTTACACAGCCCCGAGGAAGAGTTAGGCCATCCAGAGGATGTGGCAGGGTGGCTGCAGCTCAGAAATATGGAGCTTTATTGAAGTTGACAGGGCTGTGCTGATTAACATCACCTGAGGACCTGGTGCAGTCTTTCTGTATCTCTCTCTGAGTTTACACTGCTTCCATGCCTCACAACTAGTGATTTTTATAAATATCCTCCCTTCCCTCCCTCTGCCGGGCATCTCTCCCCCTGCCACACAGCAACTGGAAGGTCAAGGCCCTTGGCCACTGGGGAAATGAGCACTAGGAAAACAAGCACTGCAGACCCCAGTGAGGACACTTGGTCCCTCCCACATTCAATGAGGAAATTCACAGTTTTCTTTTGCTCCTGAGGAAAGTGTCATGGACCATGGCGGTCAAGGCAGGAAGCAGGCTCCCAAGTAGCTGAGGCCAGCTTGCCTTCAGCGCTGTGAATGACTGTGCTGATGCCATGAGTCCAAGGCAGGACATGGCGAGGGAGTCTGTTGTGTAGCTGCAGGGAAGGCATGATTTCAGGGAGGGACTGAAACTTCCAGAGTGAACCATTCTTCACAGGATTTCTTCTTGGTATAAGAAAAGAAACAAGGCGTGCTAAGCTGGCAGGGAGGGGTATCTGGCAGGGAGGCCAGCAGGACCCAAAACAGTGTTTTACTCCTTTCTGTAGTATTTGGGTTCTGGATTTCTGTTTGAGGATATTGACTGTCCTTGGTGTGCTAAGGTAGGGCATAAGCATAGAGATGGGATGCAGCTAGAGAAAAGCACTGGTATTTCACTGGCTTGGATTTCTGCTTCAGTTGTCCTGCTTGCATACTAAGGGTTAAAGTGATCCTCAAGTCAGGGTGGGAGTGAATTTTTTCCCTCAGGAGTTTCTTTTGCCCTTCTTCATTATCCATACCCGAGGTCACCTTGGAGGCCTTTTTGCAGGCCCTCTAGCCCCAGCCTTTGCACTCTCTTGCCCTTTCCTAAGGCACAAGTTGCAGCTTTCAGTCAGTTGTGACAAGTCTCAGATTTGCTGCAGAGTGCTGTGGCATTCTGTGGGCAGTGGTAGCATGTGAGGACAGCTCATCTCAGGGACCTTTCTGAAATGGGCAAGGTTGTGTTTGCAACATGGTGATGTGACTCCTGTGGTCCCCTCAGGCCACCAGCCTGAAGTCATGGTGCTGTGTTGAGTATGTGAAAAATCAATGGGAAGACAATCTCTGTGGGAAGGGTTTCCTAGAGGCTTTGCACCAGCACGCATCTCACAGTGAGGAGGGCTGAACTGCCCAGTGGACGAATGTATCCACAGGTGTACAGCAGAAATCAGGATAATCACAATACTCTATCACTTTAAGCTAGTATTATAGGCAGTCTAAAAGCAAGCTAGTAATCATTTGCCTGAGAAGGTCCCAAACAGTTTGTGGTTTCACATGCATATTTTTCTGTTTTATGAATGTTTTCAGTTTGTTGTCTGAAAATCACACAGAAAAGAAACCGTCTGTGTGACCATAAAACTGGGGAAGCAGCAAAACTGATTAAACATGAGATGCTGTCAAACATATCAAGTAAATATACTGGGGGAAAAAGAATCCCTCTTCTAGCTTGGTAATGTTAGTAAGTTACAATAAGTAAATATAAAGATACACAAAGAAAAACACAGTTTAAAAATTGGCCACATTTCTGCAAGACTGTGACAGCATGAGAGCAAACTAGGATTATTCTTAAATCCTGGAATATAGATTTGTAAATTTCTTAGCATCAAAACGGGATACTAGAAAATCCCCGCAGTTGTGTTGTGCCTTTAGTTCTATGTATGACTTTCAAAAGACTTTCTAGTAAAACTAATTCTGGGGCTCTTTCTTGACTTTTCATTCTAGGAGTTGACCCTGCTTCCCCTTTTCAGGCCACAAGAGATGCCTTCATTTGTTTCTCTGATCTGTCATGGTGATGGCTCTGTGGGTTTTGTCTTGCGTTGCTTCTTAGTTCTTCAAGGGTCACACAAAATGAATCATTTCAAGCTGGGGTTTTATGATACTTACCTTCCAGCATGTTGGATTGTGATTCCTTCGCACAACTTGGCTATGAGATAAATTGAAATATAAAATATGTAGGTAAAAATAGTTGGCTTGTAAAGAAGCTGTAATTGACAGTACTTCCCAGGATCAAGCCTAACGAGATTGAAATTAATAAGAAAAATGTATCTCAGTGCTAAAAAAACCCTCCATTCCTGAGTGGTGATTGTTTTCGCAGCTGTTGTTTAACTGCTTAGCCTTTTTATAATCCGATTTTATTTTGCTTTGTTTTTTGATAGCATATCAGCATTCATTCCATTGAGCCTTTGTGGATTTCTACATTAGGCAAAAGTGAAATAACAGTCAAAGGAGAAAACTTTACACATGCATCAGGCATAAAACTGATACTGACTGGAATCACCGGCTGTAAACCAGACATGTGAGTTAAACTTTGAAAAATACTATTTAATTTGAAAATTAAGCCCATTTTGCCTTAGCAATAATGTTGTGTGAACAGTTTGTCAGGGACCTCTCCTCAAGGGCATGCTTTGCACTCCTTTAGTTATACTTCCACTTTAAATTCCTGAAGGATGGAAATTAATTTGGTGTTTGAGAGGGATGGGGAAGTGGCCGGTTCTCTCAGCAGTAGTGGGACAGCTCTGTACCTATGTCCCTCTGTGCCTTACAGCATCTGTTAGATCACAGGGAAGCCTCAGCTTTTGTTTAACTCTCCTCTGCTTCAAAATATTCTGACTATATTCTAGGATTCTGCTTGTGAAAGCACAAACAGAGTGCCAGGGAAGGGAATCTCTCATGCAACAGCTTGTACTTTTCTCTGTTGATGATTGCACAGTGCAACCCCCTAGATAATTAGGCTGTCTTAGTCTGAATCAGTCATTTTCAGGTGCAGCTGGAATGGCTGTGTGTGATTACTGAGCCCATTTTGCATAGCTAGCACTTGAGAAAGTATTCATACGGTACTGTTCAATTTTTACTGCAACCATGAATTTCCTGGGGACCACAGAAAACAAAAGGAGAAAAGGAGGGAGAGGGAGGAAGTAGAGAGAAAGAGAAAGGAGTGAAAGGGAGGAAGGAGGAGGGAAAGAGGAGAGAAAAGAGGGAAAGAGAAGAAGAAAAATGAGAGAAAAGGAAGCTTAAGATTCTCATTCATCACTAGCTCATGGACCATATTGGTAGCACAGAGAAGTATACAGTAAACAACAAAATCACAAATTGGATTACATAGCCTCATCCCAGGGCCAGCAAACCAATATCTGAATTGTCTTCTGTGATTATTGTGACACACAGGTGTCACACATTCCACAGGTGCCCAGCTTTGTCTTTTCAACTTCCTGTTCTGTCTTTCCACGTCCATCTGGCAGCTCTAAGAGAGATTTCTCTTTTCTCCTTACCCTTTGATTTAGGTTATAGGCTTCCTGTAGAAGCACCAATGAGTAGCATAGTGGCATCTGTGTTTCAACATCTGACTGTTTTCTTTCTCCTCCAGCATTAAAGTTAGAAATGTGCTAAACGATACACAAATGACGTTTGCTCTACCACCAACACGTAAAGAGGCCAAAAGTATATGTATACAGGCTAATGGGAAAAAATGTTCACCACCAATGACCCTGCATTATGTTTCACCTCCATCATGTCTTGCAATCACACCAAATACCTCCTGGATCAGGTAAGCTTCTCTTTCTATGCTTTTTGTGCATATATTAAATGTAGGTTTTATGTTTATATTGAAAGGTAGTCCCACTGAGCCGATATGAGCCTCCTTCCTTGGCCAGACTGCAGTTGATGTAAACTTGGGTGACTTGCTGTAGCCTGTTGTGGAGAATGAATTTATGCTGGTGAACTGATTTAACATTTAACAGACAGATAGAGTGACAATAGCTGCAAAATGGATTCTGTGTTCTGCAGGATTCTGTAAACTCTTTCCTGCCCACCCCAGGTCTCCTTTGTAGAAGTCAAAAATAGTCTCTTCATACTACAGCTAAATCCAACGTACTGGTAGCACACATAAATTCAAACTTAAGTTAACTTTCATTTCTTGATACTCAATAGACCTTTCATCTCCAAAACAGTATAAAGTATCAGTGAATTGGAAATTAAGTGAACATAATCACCGCTGCAGTGATACAGGCAGATTTGCTGTAGGCCTGGGGCTTGAAAGACCCCCTTTCAAGCCTTTGCAGTGTCCTGTGGTAGACTTACAGCTCTTTACAGTGAAAGACTTACAGGGTGGTTTTAAGATATTCTCAGGCACAGCTTTCCACCTGTCCCTCTGCCTGCACAGTTATTAACCACTTTCACATTCTTAATCTGCTGTCTTGGTGTCAAGCACTGGTTAAGTGTGGATTTGAGGTAATGGATTGGGCTGGCAGCTGCAGCAGCTGAGCAGCTAGGATGCATGCCCTCATCTCCAGGTGAGAGTCAGCTCAGGCAGCTGGAAATTAATAACACCTTAAACCACTCCAACTGTGTTCAGCAGAGGTTGTGAGCCAGAGCCCTTAGACACAAGCACCATTGTGTGTGCTGAGACAGATGGTCTGAACACTGCTGAGAATGTTTCCTGTGAGGTGCCTGGCACCATCGGTTCGTCCTGAAGAAGGCAAGAATTAAGCACAGGCAGGGCTGCTCCGGGGCAGTGAAATAACATAATTCTCTTTCTTCTAGACAGAATATTAAATCACAGTCTAGTTCTTTGGCTGCATGAATAGAAAACAAGGTGGAGAGTCCCTGAAAAGGAGTATGCATGTGTATTCATTACATGTCATTTGGTTTTGTGGTAGCAAAAGTATTTACCATTACATGATGAGGAAAGAATGAAAGTACTCTGTATAGCTCTAATTATCTTGTCCTGCAGTTTGACTTTATTGTATTGGCTGCTACCAAAGCAAAATGTACAAGAGTAGTTTATGCACAGCTGAAGCTGTAATGCAGGACTTATCTGTGGGAAAACAGATAATAGTAACCTCCCTTCCCCCCCACCCTTTGTTTTTTTTACAGTGGTGGTCGTAAAATTACTACGATTGGTAGAAATTTTAATGTTGTGGACAGTGTGATTATTTCAGATGACCAGAGATCAAACCTCACTGTAAGTCTTAATCTCCTTTATAATACCAGATACAGGCCTCTCGATGGATTAGGTTTTGTTCTTAAGGTTTAAGGAGGATCTCAATAGTTTTTAAACTCTTGCAGGCACGTATCAGTCACCCTACTGAAATAAATATGACCACTTGTAGGATTACAGTTGCTCACATTCTCAGTACAAGATCATGGATACATAAGATACTCTTCTGCATAATTCCCTAAGCCTTTTTTCTACGCCTTAGAGATTTGTTCTAAATCTGTCGTTTCTGAGTCACCCCAACCTCCATACATGGATCTGTTGGAGGGCAGGGTATGGCTTACTTCCCTCTGGCTTTGTGTTGAGAACCCACATGGTGCCACTGCCTCAGCTGCAGGCCGCAGACTGGAGCTGTTGTTGGGATGAAACCCTTTCCCCAAGGCTGTGAGGAGGTGGGAACCCTGTTGACCCCTGGGCTTGCAGCACAGACACCAGAAAACAGCAGCACCACCCCATGGAGTGAACAGTGGGGTGACTGTAGCAACCCCCATCTCTCAGGAGTTAAGCTGGGCAGAGCAAGTGCCCAGGGTGCCAAAGAGCTTGTCCTGCTCTTCTTTTGTCACCTGCATTGAGGGGAAGGAGGGAGAAATCACTGTCACTATTCCTGTCTCACTGCAGGAACTATCTGCCTTAGCAGTGTGCCATCGTCCTTAAAGCAGCGTGCAGGGTGTGTGTTAAATGTGCTTAAAGGTAGACACAGGCTCAAGGCAGAAATTTTCTCAGGTGCTCTGCATGCAGCCCTGATCGGAGAGAAGAGGTTTAGCAGATAATCTGTGTGAAGTCAGGAAGACATTAAAATGGTTTTGAGTGCCTCTGTTTGTAATTGTACCCACTGTTCGGTACTTAATGACTGTTACAGCTTTGCTATTGCATTTCTAGGTCTTTAGGTGTCCTGGAAATGAATCTGAATATCATTACTTAACCCCAAGCCTGAGCCATGCAACAGAGGGTAAAGTTGTTGATATGATGTTAAAAGTGGAAACTACCTTTATACCATGTGTTAAATTACACTATCACCCTGACCCAGTGTTCATTAACTACCAGCTGCACACTGAGCTTGATCCTGATCTGGAATTGAAAATATATGTAAGTTTGAAAGTAGTGAACTGCAATTCCTTATTTTAAATAGAGTTTGGGATAATTTTACTGCTTATTGTATTTAATGACTGTTGATTATCTTCAATTTTTTCCCCTCTAGAAAGAAAATGACAACTTGAATATTTCTAAGACTGAGGTAGAAGTTTACCTGTCATATATGAATGGTGCACAGACCAAAAAGATATGGTTCAGTGTCCAGAATATTACCAAAAAGCCAGATCGTAGCACCATACTGTGTAAATTCAAACGGGAAGGAACAGACAAGATTGACTTTTCCACAGTGAAAGTTTTTGTAAGTAGAATTCCCTTTTGTTGCAATTCAGGAGTGTTTGGATGTTTATACAAATGTAGCAAAATGTAGCATTAATGCTCTCAATGTTCTTTATAGAGGTAGAAACTGGATGCATTTTCTGCTTTCCGGAAACTTGGTAGCACAGTATCTTCTGCATGTCTAAGCATGCCTGACTAGCTTAGGTGTCGCTAGAACTCATTTACGGTATGGTTGCTGCTGTGATGTCAGAGGTAAGCTGTGCCACCCAAACGGAACTCACTGCTGCTGAGTTCCAGGAGAGCAGTAGATTGTCACACCTCTGGCTGCAGCACAGACATGACCAGCACAGCATGACTGGCTCTGGGAGAGCTCCTCATTTTAGTTCTGTAAGCAATCAGATGCTGCAGTGTGGCCATGAGGAGGATTGTGCCCTCCCATTTACTTTTTTGTACTGAAGTAGATGAAGATCTTGAACAGTGCATAGGGATCACCACTGAGACAAAAGAGAAAGCATTTCTGGACGAAGAAGGGGGTGAAATTCAGTGTGCAGTGGGAAGGACAAAATGCTTTGAAAGCACGGCACAGAGCCAGGCCCAGATGTAAGAACATTAGCATGGATGTCAAAGCTAAATGGCAGCTTAAGATACTTGCTCCATGAATAAGATGAAGATATGAATTTTTTAAAATGCAGTCATCACCATTTATGAGGGAGAAAAATGATGCCAGACTCTTATTGCAGTATATGGTGATATAAAACTGAAATAACTCTATTGACTTCAAGGCATATGTCTCATAGTAAAGATTAACGAAGCTATTCTCAATTTCATATCACTGCTAACTGATCCCCCATCTGTGGATCCTGCCATCTGAGCCAGTTATGGCATGGAAAAGCCTTTCTGAGAGTGGTGTTGCATTTAAATATTAACATTGCCTTGCTCATCCTGCAAGCTTCATAGGAGTGACTGCCATAGAAAGGTCACCACTTTGTTAAGGCAAATCAAATGCAATAGTTATAATATAACATTTCACTTCTGGTACCTTAAAAATGGTTCTTTCCAACATCAAGAAAAGTGTAAAAGCAATAAATCATCACGTGTTTTTTCAATCTTATGAATAAATCATCATGGAAGAAGTAGGGCCAGTCTGTAGAAAGGATAAGCTAAGTATAAAAGATAGGTATTGCCTGAGAATAAATGTATGTCTTGCCACAGTTTTCAGGAAGAAAGAGGATATTGAGTGTGGTGTCAAAGACAGGATGATCAGTCTGAATGGCAGTATCAAAGAAGAAAATACTGTTCTTGTGACAGAAGAAAGATTCATATAGATCAAGAGGCTTAAGACAGCAGTAACAGAATCATTCCCATCACAGGACGGAGAAGAAACTGGCACATGATATTGTAAGCTTAGTAGGAAAGATATGAAATAAAACTGCAGTCAGGAGGCAGTATATGAGCAGAGAGCTGCAAATATAAACCAGTATTTAAGAGAAAAAAAAAAACAAACAACTAGGCAAATGGGGGCTTGCTGATTTAATTCTGTTTCTGGGTAAAGCTTTTTAATGTATTTTGAATGAGGGACTCATGAAAGACCTGGAGGTAAATGGAAAATGGGTAATTGTCAACTTCTTTTTAATAAAAGCAGATTATGCTAGATATCTTTATTTCGTAAGATGAGTGATTTCCTCAACAGCAAAAAAGCAGTAGATCACATGTACCTGGAAGTCATTCAGTAAACTACTTAACATGGTGATTATGAAGACGCAGGTATTAGAAAACCTGAATGCTGTGTGCAGGGAGCTGACTCTGGGCAAAGTTGCTTTTCATACAGATATTATTTAGTATCACTAGTGACTCGAGCACAAAAATAAGGCATGTGCTAATAACATTTGCTGATGACAAAGTTCAGAGGTATTACCAGTCCAGAGGAGGTTTCATAATGTCGTGCAGGAAGAATGAAATTAATTTGGGGATCAGAACTGGATGAATTCAGGTGTACTTTATTTAGTCCATGATTCTTAAGCAAAATAAAGAAATGGGACCACTTGAATAGGAAAGTTATGATGAAGATTAAAGATAATTCAAATATGAGCAGAAAATGAATGCTTTGTCTCAGTTTGCAGTAGGCAGAGATGATAAACAGAAATTTCTGCTTTAGGAATGCTTTGGTTGGACATGACAAGTGAAGAAAGGCAGGTGTATTAATCACACTATGATGCTACCAATGCATTTCAGCCTTAGAAAAGGCAAATGGATCTTAGGAAGGTTCAGACCAAAAGTACTTTATATAAAGGAACCATGAAAAAATATAAATATATGAGGAAAAAAGATTTGATGGAGGAAATGGGTCTGCTTTGTCTTCTGTTCTTTGTAGCCCCAGAAGTATGAAGGCTGTGCCCCTTCCAGCCCTGAGGGGTTTCATTGCTTGCTCATGTCTGTGTATCTGCAAGGGGACTATCTAGTTGGCAGTTTCCAGCGCCCTGGCTGCTCACCTCCTGTGACAAACCAGTGATTGAAATCACCAGATCTCTGCCTTCCCTGCTGTAACTCAAAATAATTTCAACCCAACTCTCCTTTTCAATTATCTCAGGCTCGTTTCTATCCCTGGCACTCGGTGGTATTCTTTTTCTGTACCACAGTGTATGTTTACATCTAGTCTGTTTATAGTCTTAGCTACCCTTTATTTATGTGCTTTCACGGTCCTCTTTCAGGTCCTCCTTTGTGAAATTTCTTCTGCTATAGTTATCAGTGGTGAATGAGTCAGTTTGGCATCTGGCAGACCTCGGCCCTTTTGTATATTTGTAAGAAATAATGCCTGTCCTGCCCTTGACAAACCCAGTGGCTGTTGGGGAAAGTTGTAGCTGTATTGTACATTGTGTTTGTTCTTAAGTGGACTTTCAGGAATGCCCTACATCCTACATAAGGAGGTTGAAACTTCTGCAAAGAAACAGGCAAGAGGGCTGTGGAACAGGCATCTATCAAAAATTTGATTTCCCTCATTATTTGCATGATTCTTACCTTACTTTTCTGCTCAGCAAAGTAGCATTGTGAGTGCAAAGGAATGTTTTGTACTATCAACACGTGCTTTCCTTGCCTCAAAGTGCCAGAACGTTTACCAGCAGTTCTGGAGTGCATGAGCCCCTGGGCTAGCTGGAGGCCATTCATTTGAGCACGCTAGTTTGCAGTGAAGCAATGGCAAAATTTGGTGCTGCATTAAAACAGTTTGGTCTGGAGGTCCTCCTTGTCACTGATCTGTTGTCCTATTTAAGCATCCAGTACAGTAAAAGTTAAATTTGTGTTGGTT